TTTACTACTATGTCTAGCTGAATGTGACAGGAAGGAGTGCAGTCCGCGCGCACGCGCACACACGCAAAAGGGTGGAATTCACGATTCCACAGAATATTCCCCCGTTTGTATTTCTCCACTCTTGATATTATTATATTTATTATAGCTTAATAAACGGACAGAATAGAATAGCTGAAAGAAAAGAAATAAAAATCATGCTTTGTCCTCAAAGTAATCTTTATACTGCTAAATTCATACACAAAATTATATGCAAATATTTACACTTGACCCACCTAGAGAAACTATAACGTACGTAAGTGTGAAAACTTAAACACAACAAAACAGGGTTTTACTTTGTATAATTCCTAACGGGAATTAGAGCTGCTAAAGGATTCTTCTATGTTTCTGGAGAAGTCATATTTTTCAAAGGAGGAAACGGTGAGTCATATGTATATTTCCCAACGGGAATTTGAGCGAGCTGGGCTTATCTTCTATGTCTCTGGTGAAGACATTTTTCCCAATCAGTAAACGGCGCTATGGGTTTGTGTGCTGTCCCATTGCAGCTGACCCGAGAAAGCAGGTTTAGTCTTGCCCGCGCGCGCAAAAAAAAAAAAAAAAAAAAAAAAAGCCAAAAATAAGAGCAAACGCTCAGTTTGACTCAGGAGGCTAACTAAACCATTGACCACTTTCGTCACTCTATGAACTAACGTCACTCAGCGACCATCACGTGACCATCGTGAATTCATCTCCTAAAGGAAGATAATTGCCTTTCGCATCCCTACATTTTCTTTTTTGTTTCTTATTCTGTTAAATCTTTTTCTGTATTTAAGTTGCATTTTTACCTTTTAAAAAATAACTAATATACCATAAAGTACACAGATGTTCTTCCATTTTTAATGTTAGGATTAAAAAATATACAAATTTTAACATTTTCTAAATGCATGTTTATACGACAGCTGTAAAAATAGAGTGAAAAGCGATAATTTTGAAAGAAATTGAAACCATGTGCTCCTAGTCTCATCTAACAAAAGAAATTGAACAAACGTTTTAGCTAACCGAATATATTGAGCTGGAACAAAAGATTATAGTGTTTTGAACCCGATCCAAAGCATGTTATTTTGGAATTGTGAAAAGCAGGAAGGAAACATTTTTGTCCGCCAACTTTGAAATGCCATAGAACGGTGCTAGTCAAAATGTGGTGCGCGCACCGGTGCCGGTACGTGAACCATTGTCTGCCGGTACGCGGAGAGTTTCCAGGAAACAAAGAACCAGTAGACACATTCCCCGTCACTAGAGACTGCTGGGGTATCTTATTCATTTTTTTAACATTTTAATTTTAGTTTTATGTTTATTATGGTTACATTTTTCAATAACTCACTCATGTTAAAAGTCATTGCTATACTAACAAATGCGATATAATGAACAGCAAAACAGTGAACTAAAATACGTACGACAACACCATCATGATGTGGCATGTGACTGTGTTGGAATCACACCAAGGAATACAAAAAGGATATTTTCATCAGCATATATTTCTAATTTGGCCTTTAAAAAATTCATCTAACTGTTGGAAAAATAAATAGTCCCTCGCACATTGAAAAAAACTGCCGGTACGCCACATCATAATGTTTGAAAAACACCGCCACAGGAGATTTCTGTGCTATTTTACTGTTTAAAACAACAGTAAAATAACGTGAGAGTTTGAAACTTAAATAAACCAAATGTTTTAATGCAATTGCTTCATTTACAAGGCAAATGAATGTACTCTGAAATATTTGTGTACTCAACTTATAAAGTACATGTATTGGAAGGCTAAACTGAGGCAATATGTAATGAAAGAAGAAGAGGAAGAAGAAAAGAAAGAAAGAAAGAAGCGAAGATGATGATGAAGAGAAAGAAGGAAACAAGAAAAAGAGGAGGAAAGTGAGGATGAGAAACTGAGAAAGAAGAAGCAGAAGAAAGAAAAAAGATGGACGAAAAAGAGGAAAGAAAGAGGAAAAGGACGAGAGGGGAGAAAAAGAGGAGGAAAGTGAAGTAGAAATTAAGAATGAAGAAACATAAAAAAGAATATATCGAGAATCGGTTGTGATACCTTGATGTAACTTGGCACCCAGTCAGAGGCGACCTTACTACGCATGCGTGAACACCCTCCCAAAGAAATATTCAGTTGGCAGCGAGATGCCATTGAGTGAGCTTGTGTATTGAGCGATTATCACATTCACAATGACCAACCAAGTAGAGAATTAATGGAACTTCTTAGTGCATCACTGCAGGACTCCTCGATACTCCCCCAAACAATTTAAAGAATTTCTTTGTCTGGCAAATGGCGAAGTCGCTCGGGTGTTTTCCTTGAAACAAGTTTTTTTCTCTCTAATTTTTTTAATTCTTTCTTCCTTCCAAATTCTGTAACTTTTCAAACACTGATTCCTTCTTTGCATGAGGAAAGGAGAGCCAATTCAATATTAATTTCTGGCGAATACCAAAGATATTCCTTGGCTGCCTTCAAAGCACTTTGTTTGAAATCTCTATAAGGATAGTAGCTTAAAAATGAAATCATGCCCAAATCATTTTTAGTTCTCGTCCACTCACAATTGCTTCATTCTAAAAGGGGAGACATACCAGAATAACAAATATTCTATTCGTTTAAGTCATAAATAATTTCCGTTTTTGGGAACTACTTGCATCTTAAGAATTAATCATACGTTTTTGTATGTCGTTGGCAGCATACACAGTGGATTAAAGGGAAGATGTTGTTCTGCTTCATGACAATGCAAGGCCACAGATAGCAAGAATAATACAAGAGAAGAATTTGGGAACTCGGTTGGTCTGTTCTACTCCACCTATTGTCGTGACCTTGTAACAAACGCTTTGGGGAAAAAAAAAGTTCTCTAATGAAAACTAGATTCAAGAGTCCGGCGAATTTTTTTTCACGCTAACGCATGCGGAATTTTTACTCAAAAGGTATCGAAGAGTTGCCAGATAAGCGACAACAAGTCATTGCAAATATTAAGAAATTATTTATGATTCAGTCTATGGAATTAATTTCTAAATTTTGAATATTTTAAAATAACTCAAATTTAATTACAATTTGTGAACTATCTAAATAAGTTACCTCTTTGTACCTTATGGTCAGATCACAATCCGATTAAGAATGTTAAAAAGATATTTTTATTCATGAATATATGGTTTTAGATTTGATGTATTTGGCCAGCCAGATTTATTTATTTTTTTAGCTATTGAAGTGTAGCCTGTACGAAAAAGTCGCGGAACCAATGCAACCTTTTGAAAACTATCTAAACAAGTTAACCTCCCTATACCATATGTATTCTGGTCAGATTATGATCAGGCTACAGATGATAGAGCCATTTGTATTCATGAATATATAGTTTGGGCTATTTCCATATAAAACAAATGCAATAAAATATTCATATTTATTAGGCCAACCAGATGTACCTGGTTTGTTTAGAAAAGATTATAGACTTAATAAATCATTTTTTGACTCAATACTTTTGTTATTCATCTCTTAAGCAGACAATCGCATTTGTTGATGATCTTTTTCAATCTTGAGCGCGTATATGGCATTTTGCCATTCACCTAGTTTGATAAGGAAACCTGAATACGAATTCGCTTTCCAGTTAATCACTAACAAAGAGGATGAACAATTTCAAAAAACTCTTTGTAGCTTTTCCATGCATCTTTCAAGACTTGAGATCAGTAGCGGACTGGGTCTAAAATTATTGGTTGCTAGGCGACAAAGGGGGGCACACCCACAACTACAACACTGTCATTTTATTCTTATGAGGAATAAATAACATTTTCAAAAAATATATATGAAAAAAAGGGTACAAAATAAATAAATTTGTTGCAGAAAAAATGTATATTTCTTAGTAATTAGTGTACATATATTGTACATGTTACTGGCAGTAGGTACCAAATGTAAATACAGAATTTTATAACTGAATTTTTTATTTATTTTTTTTAATTTTAAGTAATTGTTTAATATTTTTAAATAGATTATTGCACAATTTACACATTAACAGATAATTCAAAAGCACAATAGAGCATTACATTAAGAACAATCGTTTGTGTTCACTAGATGATTGTTCGAATCTGCCAATAATTGCTTCTGCATCCAATCTAACAATTCCTTTTCTATGAATAGCAACATGTATGATTCCAAATTCTCCTCAGATAGCAAATCTCTTCTTAACCTTGTCTTTATGATCTTTAGTTTTAAAAATATCCACTCATATTTGACTTGAGTAACTGATAGTGTGCAGATGACTTTATAAAGTTCTTATTCCTTTTTATTACTTAAAAACAGTTGTCTGTGTTTATTTCGTTATTGCATTTTTATTTGATATAGGGTCCCACTTAATCAAGGGTCCACTTGCCATTGGGTAAGCTGACACCCTGGCCAGTTCGCCACTGCTTGAGATTATTGCATTGTTCTTAGTAATAATAAAGCTCCAAACATCTTTACTTGTGTAACAGAAAAAAGAAGATTGATGACCAAGTTACAAGAACCAACAGAATTTAATATTTCAACAAAACAAAAAATATTTTATGATAACATTAACATTCAGTGTATGAGTGGACAAAGCTTTTTGTACATTCAGGCACGTCTTAAAGTGTGAGTGTATAGCTTATGGATGTTATTTTTGTGGACATTAATTTCTATTAGTTCTTGAAAAAAGATCACCCGCACCCCAAACCAAAAATTTATTTTACCATGGACACTGATAGCCACACCGAGAGGCGATAGTCTGTTTCATGCGTGAATGCAATCTTCAGGCCATGGGTGTTGTGTGTTGGTTCGACTATTAATATATGCTGGTCAATTGAGTATTATTGGTATTTCCAGGTCAGGTACTCGCGGTTTATTGTATTATCCTAACGGTTATTGGGTTATATTTTATATTAACGGTTAATGTTTATATTTTTATATTTCATATTATTCTAAAGGCTATTGAGTAGAAATAATTGTGAATCCGAATGCGGTTATTTTTAGCTATTGTGGGCTTGTGGCCATATCAAGTTGAAACACAAGTTCTTGTCCAATCACCAAAGTTAAGCAACGTCGAGCCTGGCCAGTACCTATATTGGTGACCGCTTGAGAATACCAGGTGCTGTAAGCTTGGATGTGTGAGTGGTGTAATGGATAATGGCTCAGAATTGGAAATTATATTCATTTACACGCAGATACCCTTGGGAAAGGAATGACATCACTGCTTCTCCTTCAACTAAAGGTTAAATAGTTAAATACTAGGACTTGTATCAGTAAATCATTGCCATCGCCAAAAATTCTTACAATCAAAAGGTATTTCGTGGCTTTAAATAACCTGCGAAAAGTTGAATAGCCATAAAAAACAAATCACTCACTCGATGTATATCTATTGTATAGTGTTGTTTGTTAACTATATGCAGAGTTAACAAGCTTTGAATTTATTGTTGTAAGTTGATACAGTTTTTTTTTATTTTCCATGATATTTTTGGTGTATTTTATTTTTAATTTCCCATATATGTTTAGAAAGTGTTGTACTGTTCGCGTACCTATTATAGATGTTTTGTGTGCATAGTTTCTTTGTTTCTAGGGTCCTTCAGGCATGAAACATAATGTTGCTTTTCGTTTTTGACCTTAGTAATCACTTTTATATTTACATACGCTCTATCCCTGATATTGGGCATAAATATAGCATACTTAGCAAATTTTTATCACATACTCTACTTCAAATTAGACCGCTTTCTAATTCATTCTACTTGTTGGCCGGATGTGAATGCTCCAAAAGCAAAAGTAAAAAAGTTGTTCTTTGCGCTGGGGATCTGATCATCCAACTTGGCTCACATATCAAATCCCCCACCCAATATAAAATCTTACTTATTATAAAACGCAGATTGTGTGTGTGTGTGTGTGTGTGTGTGTGTGTGTGTGTGTATGTCTGTAACGTTTATATATTGGATCGGATTTCCTACATTTTTCAACCGATTTCAACAAAACTTCACAGGACTACATAAAATTACCTTGTGGTGGTTCTAACAGCGCCAAAAATTGGAAAAATATAATATTTTTTGCACAAAATCAATTTGAAAACACGATTAAGAGACATCGTGAAAATGGAAGGGGGACAACTCACATCGGGTTGTTTGTGTGTGTGGGTTCCTTTAAATATGGGAGCGGATTTCCTATATTTTTCAGCCGATAAAAGAAAACTTCACTTTTTTTTTTTTGGCAGATAGTGTTTCTTATTCTCTTACACACTTTTTCCTTTATTTTTAATATTCACAATGCTTTAAAAATTCCATTTACAAGACAATTATTTATAATAAAATTCTATTCAATCGGTAGACTCATAACGATTGAAAACAATGTTTTTGTTTGAGTTTGACCAATTCGTAAAAAAAAAAAAAAAAAAAAAAACTAATTCAGACATGCGTGTCCGTCAACCTTAAACAATAAACTTTGTCAATTTTATTTTTCAGTCTTCATGATGGTGGATACTTGATCTATCTCTTACTGTTATATCCCCGGGCAACGCCGGGCTCTACTGCTAGTACAATATAAAAGGAGGCAATTACGAAGTTTGCTGCTAAAGCAAAAGCATGACAAAAACGCTGTGTCATGATCTACCCCCGTCTATTATTAAAGACGCTACTCACGACACTGAAGTCAGTTGTAGGCGAGTGGGTAGACTGTCAAAAAGCTACCAGTGACCTCGGTGTACCAACCCAAAAAGAGCATAAACTGAAGGCACTACTGACTCCCCGCCACTCTCTAGGTCACTTCCCTCGCCCACATAGAGATATTCTGCCTTGATTCTCTATACCGGCAATACAAAGAATTTTATCTTAACAATTCTTGTCTTCTTTCTTTCTTTCTGACTCACTGGCTGTTTATTGATGTTTCGTTTGTTTTTGCGTTTATAACAACTGATGTGCAGCAGGAGAACAAACGAAATGGATTACACTGACCTGACCCACCCAGAAATTCTTGACCTCATCAAGGAACAGCGGACAGCAATCCTGAATCTCAAAACTGACTCTACATGCACAGACATCGGACAAAAGCAGTCATTGACTTCAATCAGAGCTACAAGAAATATTGACCGTCCTAAAAAACCGCTGCTACTAAGACCACAGACACAGACCACAACTTCACAGACTATGAACTACTAATATGACAGCAATCAATACGTGATGCAATGCGAGAAAATTCAAACCGGGCAGCGACATCAGCCATTTTATTACTGATTTGAACAAAGTATATACGATCCAAATCAAGCTAGAACACACCAACTACCCACGATGGAGGATGAATTTGTCAAAACTGTCAAACAAATCCTTAACGAAGGCATATTCCAACAGATGGGAAAATCACAACAGGAAACTTCTGCTTACAAACAGCTAAAGGCCTACCTTGCAGCTATCCACAGCAAACAAAATACGAACTTTTGACACCTCAGCCTAGTATGGGACCTCCAAAGACGAGATAGTGAGAAATTCACAGGCTGACACGAAAATACTATTCGAGAATCCACTCTCAGAGCGAAGTTCGAGACAGACAACAGGAATACAGAAATAACTATCAACACTGTCTTTTTTTTTCCTGATGGTTGCTATTCTCATGAGCGATAAAATCAAATCTTGGAAACTCACCATTTCTCCTTACCTCGTCAAGATAATGGACAACCTCTACTTGGCAAGCGGTATAGCGAGTGACGCACAACACTACCTCGACAGGTGCATTACACCGGACACCACACCATACCACTCTTGATCCCACCGTAATATACACACATAAAACGCAGCAGCCAGACAAACTGTTACCCCACTGATCCTGATCAAGTGCTGGCCGGCTTAAGGTAGCAACTTCTTCGGATAAGCAAGCAGTTTTCCAACCTGAACACGCATGGGTCAACAGAATCGGAACAAAGTACACAGATATACCAGTCAAATTTGTAACCCCACTAAATGCAGAAATTACATGAAGGGCCGCACACTCTTCTCCCTCTACCTGAAGCACACCTCGTGACCACAGATACCAAAACAACACAAATCCCTTCAATGAGCTAGATTTTCAGGAAAGGCCGGACGAGATGTAATGACTTGTCCCCCAGTCTACAATTCTTACTACCCCCATCACTTATTCAACTTCTAACGGTCACTCAAGAAACAATCACCACTCATCAATGTCAACTTTGCCATCGATAATTACGTCTCTGGTATTGGCATGTTGAACTCTGGATAAACCACTTGCATTGCACCTATTTTTCGGCTACCCAAAAATCAAAGTACATCGTCCAATCAAGCATCTAGGTTACTGGAATCGGGGGTAGCATCTCCATACTTAATAATACTTAATAATCATTTGAAATGCAATAATCAATAAACAATTGAAATCATACTCAATAAACAATTGAAATGCAACGGTCGAATTCAGGTCCATACTTCTATCTGGTGATATGACATCTCTATCTGACTCATTCTACATCAAAACCTGTCAGCTGAATGTGAACGCTACAAAAGCAAAATCAAAACAGTTACTCTCTGCGCAGGGGCTCCGAGCACCCCAACCGGCTCAAATAAAAAAAATTATAAAAGGAGCCAATCACGAATGTTGACAAAAAAACACCGTCATGATCCACCCTGTCTAAGGACACTGCTCACAACACTGAAGTCAGTTGCAGGCAGACAGGCTGTCACTGTCACCACCAGTGACCTTGGTCAACAGACCCAACATAAGTTTCAACGCCATGCCCTATTGGCTCCCCCATCCTCCAGGTCGCTTCCCTCGCCCTCAAAGAGAGCTTGCGCCTTGTTCCTTTATACATAGAATTGTATTTTAACATATCTTGTCTCCTTTTCTTTCCATCTCATCGGCAGTACTTTGTCATTTTCGTTTGTTTTTTTGTACTATATACCGTGTATGGTTGCAAGTGTTGCGTAATCATAACCAAAACGAGAAAAGTTTTAAATTATAATAAATGAAATTAATTGGACAGAAATCAATTCCCATAAGATTTTAATTCACATACCTGTACAGAGCCTTACCTATTTGCTTCTTCTTCTATGTGTTGTGTCCCTTCATGACTCTCCATAATTTCTTCTCTTTTGTAGCTCTTCATAATCACTGTTGTACCAACGATTTATAGGTTATGCGCCACTTTCCACTGTCACTCTTGTCTTCAATATGTCCTGTCAGTGTCAAATTTTGTAAGCCCTCTTTTCTCATTATGTTGCTTAAATATTGAAGTCTCTTCGTGATGCTAAGTGTCCCTTCTGTTTCCATTATCCAAAAAACTTTGCCGTTGTTCACATGGTCTATCCATGGTATTCTCAGCATCCTTCCGTAGAACCACATTTCTGTTGCTTCAAGACATCTTCATCTGTAAGGAGATTGTCCACCATTCACTGCCATATAGGAGGACTGATATTACATAACAGTTCAGTACTCTTTTCTTTGTTTCTCTTGCTTCAAGTCTCTTCTTCATCTGTGAGGAGATTGTCCAGCATAATGGTGGAAATTATGCCAGCTTTAGTTTAATTAGTAAATGAAAGAAATGAAAATTTAATAATAATTAACAATGGTTCAGGTAGAAAATTTGTACACCTTAAGATTATTACTTAGGTGTAGAAGGAATGGAAATAAAAGAAAAACTAATTAGAATTTAATAATTATTGCGAACGCTTGATCTAAGAAATTCACACAACTTGAGTCATTTACTACCAGGTGTATCAAGAAACATGATGAAAGAAATACAAATAAAAAATTAATATTAATTAACAAGTGACATCCGTAGATCTATGTCCAAAGTTATGCCTCAGCTGCTGATGGCTGTACACCATTTGCTATGGCTGTATAGGCCCACACAGGAGTGACAGTCTCGATTGCAATGAATGCATGTGAAGATGCTTATCCCCAATGTTACCGTGTTGTTTTCTTTTTGTCAAGCATCCTTCTCTCTGGCAGCAAGTCACCATTTCTCCTCTCCTCACTCCAAACCTCAGTATAAATCATGTCTCCAGTTTGAGCAATCATTGGCGTTCTTCATGTTCATTTTGCAGATGTCCTTGAAGTGAAGATAGGGTCACACTTGTGCCCTCTTGCCAATGGCCAGTTCCCTGTACAGAAGGGCCTT